AATGCCAAGTCTCTATCTTAATCCGTATAGGACCTAGAGGCGAAAAACCGACCCCCCTACCCATCCGCCAGGGCGCGCTTTTGCGAAATTCCAATAATAATTAATTAAAACCTTATTTCTCGTCGCTTATGGCTTTGATAACCTACCAAATATTATTTTATCTTCTTGAACAATTATTCAGCAACATTTAGAAATAAAAATCGTGTATATAACGCCATTTTTAAAAGCACAGGAAGTGAAATACTAACCCCACCCCCTGCCGTCTTTTATTATTATTTATTGCTCTATCGCCTCTCCGTTCTTGTATGGTGCTTTTATAGACAATTAAAATATTTAATCCTGCTTGAAATTTAATACTCTTTTTAATAAAATTAATGCCAAGTCTCTATCTTAATCCGTATAGGACCTAGAGGCGAAAAACCGACCCCCCTACCCATCCGCCAGGGCGCGCTTTTGCGAAATTCCAATAATAATTAATTAAAACCTTATTTCTCGTCGCCTATGGCTTTGAAAACCTTCCAAATATTATTTTATCTTCTTGAACAATTATTCAGCAACATTAAGAAATAAAAATCGTGTATATAACGCCATTTTTAAAAGCACAGGAGGCGAAATACCTACCCCACCCCCTGCCATCTTTTATCATTATTTATTGCTCTATCGCCTCTCCGTTCTTGTATGGTGCTTTTATAGACAATTAAAATATTTAATCCTGCTTGAAATTTAATGCTCTTTTGAATAAAATTAATGCCAAGTCTCTATCTTAATCCGTATAGGACCTAGCGGCGAAAAACCGAACCCCCCTACCCATCCGCCAGGGCGCGCTTTTGCGAAATTCCAATAATAATTAATTAAAAACTTATTTCTCGTCGCGTATGGCTTTGAAAACCTTCCAAATATTATTTTATCTTCTTGAACAATTATTCAGCAACATTTAGAAATAAAAATCGTGTATATAACGCCATTTTTAAAAGCACAGGAAGTGAAATACTAACCCCACCCCCTGCCGTCTTTTATTATTATTTATTGCTCTATCGCCTCTCCCTTCTTCTATGGTGCTTTTATAGACAATTAAAATATTTAATCCTGCTTGAAATTTAATGCTCTTTTTAATAAAATTAATGCCAAGTCTCTATCTTAATCCGTATAGGACCTAGAGGCGAAAAACCGAACCCCCCTACCCATCCGCCAGGGCGCGCTTTTGCGAAATTCCAATAATAATTAATTAAAACCTTATTTCTCGTCGCCTATGGCTTTGAAAACCTTCCAAATATTATTTTATCTTCTTGAACAATTATTCAGCAACATTTAGAAATAAAAATCGTGTATATAACGCCATTTCTAAAAGCACAGGAGGCGAAATACCTACCCCACCCCCTGCCGTCTTTTATTATTATTTATTGCTCTATCGCCTCTCCCTTCTTCTATGGTGCTTTTATAGACAATTAAAATAATTAATCCTGCTTGAAATTTAATGCTCTTTTGAATAAAATTAATGCCAAGTCTCTATCTTAATCCGTATAGGACCTATACGCGATAAACCGAACCCCCCTACCTGTCAGCCAGAGCGCGCTTTTCGAAATTCCAATAATAATTAATTAAAACGTTATTTCTCGTCGCGGATTGCTTTGAAAACCTTCCAAATATATTTTTATCATGTAGTACAATTATTCAGCAACATTTTGAAAAAAAATTCGTGTATATATCGGCATCTTTAAAAGCTCAGGAAGCGAAATACCTACCCCACCCCCGCGTTTTAAATAATTATTTTCATTGAAATGTAATTATTATCTTAAATAATTAGTTTTACTTACTATACTTTACTTTCTGGGGTTTTAAATTAAAGAACATAAAATTGCTAATATTTTGACACCAAATATATATTAATATCTTTAAAACAGTCCAAGTTACATGATATTTAGTTTCGTGATTATCTCCGATTTTCTGATTTCTCGGTATTTCCGGTTTAATAAGGCCTTTATTTATTGACCGAAATATTAATTTTTGGTATCATTGTGAAGATCTCATCAATATCTATCAATATTAATCAAGTTTTAATATTTAAATGTTCAAATTCAAAAGATATTACCATTAGAAGTTAAAAAAAATGAAAACCGGAAGGGGGTGGGGATGGAGAATGATGGAGAATGCATACTTCCGGTTCAAAAATTATTATTTTTTTTACATGATTGCTTCGAGCAATAATTTACCAACATTTTGATACCAAATTTATAATTATATCATAAAAAATAAAAAAGTTATAGGCATTTTATATTAAAAAATTTCGGAAAATTTCTTCCGGTCCGCCATTTTCTCAAAAATCTGAACTTCCGGCGCCCATAACTCCCTTATTTATGGGTCGATTTTCAAAAACTTGATATCTATGTTTCAAGCGTGTCAAGATCTACAAGAATACGTAAAAAAATTTGGTGTAGATATATTAATGTGAAAGTTATGGGGAAAATAAATTAAATTTTTTCAAACAAATAAGGGGGTGGGGTTGGAGAATGATGGAGAATGGGTATTAAATGTTGATCGATTTTAATGAAATTTTGCACACTAAAATTAGACACTTTAACCTTTATTTTGACACCAAAAATAATAAAATCTAATCACCGGTTAAAAAGTTATTAGCGCGTACTTTCGGAGAATTTTCGGAGAATTTTCGGAGAATTCGGAGAATTGACACCTAGGCCCCCAAAATCAAAAAAAAAAAAAAAGTGGCCCTAAAATGCCTTAAAATGGTCTAAAACGCCTAGAAACACCCAAAAAATTTTGCAAAAAAAAATTCCTGAAAAGGTGATTCCTAAAGGTCAACCTGTTGAGCTTACACGAAATGCTGAATAGTTTGCACGAAAGGAAATGTGCATAAAAATCGAACGCTGTAAATAATCTTAGGTTTATTCTTCTTATAATGTATGACATGTGAAATTTAAATTTATGGCACGGATCCAGGATATTTTCCCAGGGGGGTCAACCCCTGGAGTCAAAAATTTCCAACCCAGAAATTTCTTGACAAGCAAAAAAAAACCCAAACAAACAAACAAAAACATCCCCCCTAAAATCCATCATCCAAAGGTAAAAAAAAAAATATTTCGTGGTGGTGATGGTGGAGTCGAAATTTTCTAGGGAGTTGGGGGGGGGGGAGCAAAGTCATTTTTTATTTACATCAGTAAAAACTTTTAATAACTCTGCAAATTCCAAGGGGGGAGGGGGTCCGGAACACCCCGACCCCTTCTAGATCCGCACATGAAATTAACAATCGATCACCTATTTACTACAGGGACTTCATAATTTTTGCTAATGCATTTTTTTGTCTAATGATAAGGATACAGGCTTGAAAATTGTTTCCTAAAGCATATCTTTCAAAAGGTGGCTTTATGGTCTAAAATCTTACCTTCGCAATTGTTGCTTAAGTTTGTATTTCAGCAGACTTCGCAGTACAGTTAAGGCTACACATGAAGATAATATGGTAATGAGGTCATAATGAGGTTGACGTCATGTCAGTTGCTCCGCCTTGATAGATCCATATAAGGAAATAGAGCTCAAAAAAGCTATTTAATGATGATTGCGAGAATTCGTAATGAATTTCTGTATTTTCAGGTTTAAATAAATAAACATTAGTGATTTTCTCTTATATAGTAACAACACGTCTTCGAAATAATTCTCTTTTTATTGTGTCGTTTGGCTGCATTCGGCTTCAGCCAAGCGCTTGCACTCGGTGACACGGAATGTTGTTTACATCTAAAAACGTGGCGAACAGCGGCTGAGACATGCAGTGGATAAATGCAACAATCAGGCAATCTTTAAAGAGAATAGGGATAAAATAAGAGACCTGGGCCTTGTTTATCTTTTTGATGAGAAGATGATGACGTTATTTCGGGAAATCATGGAAAACTGAGACGATCCGCACTACCTCCCTAGGTCCCTTTCTGTTCATTAAGGTGTGTATGTGCATAGGAATTAACATGTAGACATACTATTCTTTACATCGATGTCAAATAACCATGAACATGTACAATAAGATGTATTATTACAGTCCGTCACAAACTGCAATGCAGTGCCTTGTGTGTATGCCCCCCCCCCCCCCACATACACAAAAACACACACATTATGAAAGTTGCACACTTTTAAACATGCAATGATGTTGTCCTTTGGCATACATGTACAAACATGTAACATAATATAAGCACAGCACGTCATGATATCAAATAGAATAATTTAGATGCAGTCACACTTACAATGTATTTGTGAAGTCAAACTGCACAGTGTACACAATGTATGTGCACTGTACATACAAGAGTATAAGACCCTATAAATTTTAATTTATACCTCTGGCAATCAAAAATATGTGAATTTTAAGATTTCAGTTTTTACCAGTGCTTCATATTTAAATTCATCGTAGAACTTTTACTATCTGTATCACTAGGCTGTAAATTTGTAGAATTTCTACATTAATGAAGATAGAACATTTGAATTTTCATTTGTCTGACTACATGTACATTAAGTCAGTCTTATATGTATATACATGTATTTATGTACTGTTTATATGTATAATTCTTTTGTCATTGTAGCTGTCACAGAACTGGTTAAAACTGGCATTTACATCAGCTAGAACTATGAAAATAGATGCATCAATTTCTCCACTGGGTATGATCACACTAAAGCATTTCACATTAATTTTATAGTATGCCAGTGTTAATTTTTTTTTTAAATGTTGTATAGGTGAAAGAATTAAATGATATCTCTTGTATATTGATTTTTTTTTACTTAAATTAAGTATAGCTACCAATTCTACTTTTGCAAATGTCATAGGTTCCAATTTCCAAGAAAAGTTTTGTATCAAAAGTTTATTTCTATTTAATTTATGAATTTCAGAAAATATAGTATAGCATGGTTTGTTTTGTTCAATGCAATGTCATTTCATTCTACAATAGTAATCATTATGTCATTCACTCATTACATATATATTGTGTTGTAGCTATTATCAAACAATTTGAACAATTCATTCAGGCAGCAAGTGTTTCCACCAATAAAATAAAAAGGTACGCTCCATATAAGCTATAAACCATACATATTCCTAGCAAGATTATTGAAATGTTTTGATAATAAAAACAGTAGAGTCATGTATATGTTTTCCATGTTACTCAATGCATTGTTTTGAGTATCACTTTTTTAAAACACCAATGGACTTTCCATAATGGTATTTCATTTTGTTTTCAGAATTGATTTCATCCAGAAGAACTGTTTGAACTGTGGACTGTTTGAAATATTTTGCACCTGCTCAGAAATCCCTTCACAGCCTGCCTTTGAATTTGAAAAGCTGTTTTTAATTAAATAAATTTTCTAGATAAATAATACTTTGAATTTTTAACAATACAATGGTGTGAAAGTTTGAAGGCTGTTACGATTTGATAATCTTTACTTGAATATATTCTGACAGGCGCGTAGCTGCCTATACGCAGATGTGTACAAATCGTTTTCAAATTAAAAAAAAAATTGGAAGGGGGGGGGGATGAGGGAAGGGAGAGATTTGTGAGAAGAGAAAAATATCAATACCATCCAGCAAATATTTGTGTTTCAAATTATTTTATCTCGTACTGTTTCGATTCAAATTCAAATTTTACATTACCATGTCTTCATAAAAAAAATTGTAATGTTTTATTATTTAAATCATTGCCAAAACCAAATAAAACATTTATTAATTTGTAATTCTTCAACAACACATTGATAATTTTTTAAAGATCTTTGAGAAAATATCAACCATTGAATGCTGTGATCCACTAGAATATGATTGGAAATATAACATTATTTTTGTTAATAATTGAAATTAATTATTATATTTGTTGCTGAAAGTTAAAAAAGAGTAGATGATCCCAATATATCATTTTAAAAAATATTCAGCCTCTACATGTACAATAAATTTGCACTGAAGTATTTAACTGTGTTAAAAGCAATATTAAGTACTATGTCTTGTATTTTCTAAAGAAAATCGAAATGGCATGATTTTGAATGAAATATTTGGTAAAACCCATGAGCTTCCAGGGACTTCGTCCATGGGTCCTCATCAGGGCTTCGCCCTGGACCAACTGGGGATCTCAAAGCGGACCCCAGCCGTTCTATGCGTACATTTCACTTCCATTCTGGCTACGCGCCTATCTGTGTTTTGGGGTACCAACAAGATCTAAATTTCAGCATGTATATTGTGTTCACCTGTTCTTTAGCAGAGTATATGTTTCTTGATTACAAAGTTTTACTTTGATTATCTTGTTTGCGCATGGATTGATAATAACTCAAAAAAAAAGAGACTAAAGCCCCCCCCCCCCTCCCCCAATTTGTGCTACAATACCCAAATAAGTAAAACCTGATGTAAACACTGTTTAATAATTTGTTTTTTTAAGTGCAAGTAAGGTATATGGTATCAAAGGAGCCAGTGACAAACTGGTGATGGGGGGGGGGGGGATCTGTACTGAGAAAGGAAAACAGGTAATTAAATACGGGAATAAGCTCCCCAATCCCTTCCTCCTGTTCTTAAAACTTTTAACGTAGTCTAGAATCCCTAAACAGTTGAAGGTTTGATAACTAAAATAATCACATATGTAAAAAAAAAAAAAAAAAAAAGTTCTGTCGGAGATATTTTTTCTATGTGTCTGTTTGGGGGGAATAAATATTTTATCAGTGATAGCGGCTGTCTATTTTTTATTACAAATGATTGAATCTTTCAATATTTTTTAACCATGGGTATTTTCCAATACGGAACTTTCGAGATACGCCGGAATCGTGGTTTACGGCTGACTTTTACACACAGCAGTCACGTGATAATAAGGAAATGTAGGGCATTGTAATGGCGAATGTTTACATCGCAACGAAATATTGAGCAGACGAAATTATTCGACGTCTGAAAAAAAGGAAGAACACAGATACTCCCAGCCACTACTGGTGTTCTTTGTCAGGGTGTGCAGCAGACGGGAGGCCAGTTGAGCCACTTATCCTTGGATGCAAGGCGTCCAATTTTAAGAGGAAACTCAAATTACGAAGGCAGCGGCCTCAGCAGGTCTTTCGAGATGAGGAGTTTTCCCCTAGACGATACCACTCCGTTTGTTCCCTACATTTTGTAGATGGCTGTCCCACTGAAAACAATCCTATCCCTACCCTATTTAGTCGCTACAATTTCAAGATTCCAAAATAGAAACCACCTCCATTGAAAAACCTCAGCATGCATATGCGAGTACAACCGCTATGAATATACATGTATACCTCTACATCAACAGAGAAGAAGTGTGAAAAGGGTCAATGTAAAAAAAAAAAAAACAGGGCCATCCAGGAAGCTGACTAGATTCGAAGAATTCTTGATCACACTCCTTAGAATTTGACTTGGTGTCAACACCTCTTTACTTGCTAACTTGTTTGGGGTAGCCGAGAGTCAGGTATACCAAATATTTAGCACATGGATTAATCTCATATATAGGGTGTGTTACTAAGAAATATTAGATTCAAACTGCAAGTTCACTAATTTGTCTAAGTTTCAAATAAAAATCTAAATATTGTTAATATTTTATGAATATATCTTAATTTTTTATTATATTACAAATGGTTTATTTCCTTAAATAAATTAATTACTGGTAATTGGTAAATATATTATATATATATATTTATTTATTTAGATTCACAAATAATATAATTCACACAGAATATTAGTATTTTGACTTTGAAAAGTATTACTAAGTAACTGTATTTTATATAGGTATTTGGACCTCAAATTAAATGGCCTTCAAGAGCACAAGTATTAGGAAATTCATACCACACTCATTCAAGAATGCTTTTCCTTGGACAAGAGTTCAGAGTAGTCGACTGAACAGAGATGTTTGTTCAGCGGCCACGTACCCCTAGAGCACAGCATCAAACATACAATAACTATAAGAGCCATAACACATTAAAGTGCCTTGTTGGAATCACTCCCTCTTGTATCACCACTTGACAAACGAATAATGATCTATATATGATGCATGTAATTGTACTATCCAAAGATGTGTTCATGAATGCTCTATGATCATGAATAGTAGCTATGCACATAATATGACATCTGAAACAAGTGCTTACATGTAAATTAAATCAAAAGAATAAGATCTTTTTTATGTATCTGAATGTTCATTCCATAAAGGCATCTAAAACATACCAGACCTGGGGTCAATTACTTTAAATGTAATGCATTAAATTACAATTACTTCGAAATTTTTACCATTACAATTACCATTACCCTCATTTAGAAAAGTAATTAATTAAATTACAATTACTTTGTTTAAGTAATGAATTACATTACACATTACATTTTATAAGAGAAAAACACAAATTTTATGACCACACAATTTATATCTATACTTTTCACACTTTGTGCTTGGTTGATATGCTTTCCCTCATGTCTGTAAGTCAGAGTGGTATTTGGATTTTGTATTCATTTATCATGTCCATGTAGTTTACCAATCTACCATGATCTACAGTTGACAAAGAAAGTGGATCGGAACACTTTTAATGTTGCAGTTTTGTTCAGTCTCTGATGTTAGTTCCTCCGTTTTTTTTTTAAATAAATGTATTAATGTCACTTGTTTTGTGGCTTCTTTGAAACCCAATGATTTCTTCTTTTTTTTTCAAAACAATTCTGGCTTTCTTCAATTGATTTTATAACTGTCTTGTCAAGAAGTTTTCCATTAAAACAATTATTTACATGTAGTATGTCTGTCAATCACCACTGAATAAACATTTTTTTTTTTTAAAGTAAGATATAGGATTTTAATTTTAAGACTTTAACATTATAAATAAAAAAAAAAAAACCTCTCAGTGACCTTTATTTGTTTCAGATTCAGTAATGAAGAGAGATTTAAAACCAAAATGTAATTGAAAGGCAATGGTCATTACTGACATTTTTTTTTAAATTAATGCATAAACATTACAATTGTAATTGAAAGATGAGTCCATTACACATTACATCCAATTACTTTGAAAAAATGTAATGATTACAATGCATTACCATTACCCCAGGTCTGATACAAACTGTAATGTAAATATTGTATTTATTTATGAAAGAATTTAATCATATGATCATGATGATTGAAATATTTTATTGTTTGTTCCTAATTTATATTTATCAGTTCAGGTATTCTGCCATCAATAAATTATGAATATTAATGAATCCTGTACCTTAGACCAAAAGTGTTTTAAGTTTTTCCTCACTGTTATAATCAAGAATGCCATAAATTATTATGCATTACATGCTTATCTCATTTACAAATTTGTTGCTCTGCTATACTTAGAGAGACATAATTGCAACTTTCAAATGTTTGTCGAAGAGATATTCACATTTTTGTACTATTTCCTCAAATTTCAAAGGATCATAATGTATTTGCTCACAGAAAAATCCACATTTTGTGTAAAAACACAGGAGTTGAAACAATTTTTTTTCTTCAATTTCTTTAATAGAGTTGTTGTTCAAGGACTTGCTTGGGTTGTTTATTGAATGGTGAGCACTAACTTCAGGTTCTTCTCCTGTATAGTCCTGTAGTTTTATGTAATTGGCCAATACAAGATGAGATGACACGAGGCTTAAAAAATTGTCCCAAACACATGGAATATCTGTTCCGACTTGAGTGTGACAGTCTTTGTGCCTCTCACAGAATGAAGCCACAGCAAATATCGAAGCTGTACAGTGCTTACACGACCCATCATCTCTAAAATCAAGAGAACTTTTGTTCAAAGTGATGAAGTATTGAATATGAAATTCCATGACATGAATAGTGTATTGAGCAATTTACATAATCATAAATGCTTGTAGGCTGAGACAGGGCTCCCTCTGTGTATGCTTTTTTATGAACAAAAAGCATTAGTATATCTTTATGAAATAACATTTTTGATAATTATTGCTTTAAATTCTACTGGAGAATCTGTAGTCATAATGTGAAAACCAGAATATTTACACTACATCCACCTGAGTGAATCTGTTCATTGCCCTCAACAAATATCCAGGTCTTGTACGGATCTGCATCTGGCTAGTCTCAGGAACTGTGTCACACTTGATGTACTGAAAATCATCAGACAGGGGGGACACTTTCACTTTATCAACGTGGTTGTTTTAGTCTGTATCCATTGTCTTGTCTCTGTCTATGTTTTCAACCGAGAATAACGTACTCCAGCCATCGTTCAAAAGTTTTATGAAAACATCGGAAATCTCAATGTTCGGCAGTTTTATGAGATCTTCAGACCACCTATCAACACTTGTTATATTTCGGAAAACTTTATCTCCAACAGTTTGACATCACCACCCTGTAGGCCTAATCATCTGCCACTTCTGAATTTCAACTCCCAGT